ACAGACAGTCATCCAATTCATTTAAATCTATCTCTTATCATTAACATTATCTTAACTCACTCTCAAATCATTATTATTATCACTATTGTTAGCATTACTCTTATTATCATTATTATTAAGTTCACAGTTCTTGATATATCCAAGTTTTCGACACACTGATAACTAATTGTTTATGTAAGTGATGTAAATAGAACTGTGTAATGAATATTATCTCCATTTCGTATTCCGGTATGTAGAGTATCCAGCTGAGGAAAAGTAGTTCTACAGAAATTCGATGAAATCATTGAATTCTGTTTCACTAACTTTTGTTGATTGTTTTAAATTCTTATCGGGAAATGACTATTTCCAATATTCTGATTGGTCCAGAATGAAGGTTAAAATTCGGGTGGTGAATCTGTACAGTAAAGTCAAGGTCATCGGTCATAAGATGAATTCTCGAGCCAATGTCATATCTGTGCAGTTGTCTCTTCTGTAAAGTTTCATCACGCTCACGTATAATTCCACTAGATCATATCTGCTATCGACCATTTTATATCAATTAGTGACGCGTAATCGACTCAGGCATCACATATTTGCTTTTTATTTTGTTTAACACAACATTCGATGTCTTAGAAAATGAACATAATTCAACCGTCTTTGATTCAATGCATTCGTGACACATTAAACTACCTTGGATAATTGCATAACAAGATGAGATAGATACTGGATCGGAAGATGAGTGATGCATTCCTCTTAAACGATGAAGCTTATGGTGATTTCCGCCAATTCCAAAACAGGATAGTCAACTGATATAAGGAGAAATCTTGGGAACTGTGGTAGAGTATAACTCCATTGTGGATAAAATTCTATTTTGAGAATTAATCACACAGTGTTGTTATACAGTAGTAGTATTTATTGATGACCACGTTTCGAGAACAATTTATTATTATTTATTATCCGCTTCTGATTTGACTGACTGGTGGTAATAATATCTCCCATGCATATCTCTGGTATTTGCGTTGAGTCATTTCTATTTCATGTGTTCTGTTGGCTGTGGAATTGATGAACCAGGCAGGATTCACTAATCAATCTATCTCTCTCTCTCCACCTACATCTGTTATTTCTTAGAATTTTGACTTTTCCCGACCACCCTATTGTGTGGTTGTCTGTTAATGCATGCAGTGTAATGCACTGCTGCGCTTTTTTCAAAATGACTCATCTTCGTGGGATCATTCATTCTAACTTTAGATAAATTCTTATGTTCTGATAATGTGAATACCCTCGACCCACTGGTTCGACGTATGTAGTTGACTCAACTCACAGTCATTGCAAGGTATTTTGTAAATGGTACTATTTTGTCTGACTGGGTCCGTCAATCTAAATAGCTTGTCTCTGAGTGAGTTTGTATATATATATATACTTTCTTATTTATGTTATCATTATTAGTTCCACCATTACTTTTATTATGCTTTTGACCGTTTCTGATATTCCTTACGAATTTCATGGGATAGTTATTCAACACCAACGCTTCTTCCATCTGTTTTATTTCATCATTCAGATATTTTGTTGTACTACTTAGTGCTACTGCTCGGTTTGTTAGACACTTAACTAACCAAGTCTGTCTTCACAGACAGACAGATAACAGATGAGATGAATTTAAGTCTAAATGTCTATTAACAGAATGTGTAGGCGTTTTATTAAACGCTAGTGTCCAGTTTATCTTCTTCGTTCTGTTCACCTTATTTCACAATCTAACATCACAACTAATTCTCCTTGTTCATTCATTTTCCGATTCAAATGTGAATTCTCCTTCCCTTTACTAGTGAGTTTATATGTCATCAGTAAATATTACTACTGCATAATAAACACTGTGTGATTTTATCAAAATAAAAATGTTATCTAGTCTGTTACCTTGACAACATTTCACTCATCCCAATGTTTCTTTCTATCATATTCACATATTCGGACTTCTAAATGTACTTTATTATCCGAACAGCTGTTTCGGGCATGCTTATTCAACTTTAGGTTGAAATCTATTTATTTAGATAGATATTCATTCATATACCTAATCAAGGGTGATTCAGAATCCTATACACTAATATTATTATAGCACTTTATTTTTCCGAATTCGACAACCGACTGATATCAGTTAGAGAACCATTGAAAACCAGCCACAAGGAGTACTGGACAGCTGTTTCATCAGCCTTGTTTGACAGTTATCCACAGTACCCAACCACCGCCGTTGTTCGAACCCACCACCTTTCGGTTACAAGGCAAGCGAACTCGTATACTATTCAGCCACCAATAGGACCCAACTGCTCAATGTCCACAACCCATGAGTTCTAACTTCTACCAATTCATCACATAGCGCCACCACTTCACAATGTCTTCTCCGATCAGTTACTGCCTCACCGTCAACCTCCATATATATACATTTGTAATTCCTATAAACTGATAAGTTCTATAATAACCTTGTCTTGACCTTGAAACGAGAGTCTACCATGTGCACTGTACATAATATTCCTTCATTTATGAGTGATTGTTTTTCTAAACTTGTTTGTCAACAAATTATAAATAAATTATAAATCAACTGAATTACTGAATGACATACAATGTGCTATATATAACAGTAGTACGCAATAATAAGTTGACAGTTGTTATCTTGTAAATAGGTTCTGTGAATCCGTGTTAAAAGTTCATTGATTGAAATGAAAAACAAGATTAGGAATTTTGTTTTATTTATTTATATTTTGTTCTTCATTAAACTCATAATTTTAAAAACAAATTTATATAAATTAAGGTTTATTTAATGAAATCACACATCTTGGTTGTTTCTCAAAACTGATATCTCATAACATTTGTGAGCATTTGTTACTATGAAATAAGAAAACGACGTAAACAGAGAAGAAAATTTTCTCTTTCTGACGATTCATCCTCATAAGCTGTACACAATCCTAATAATATTTAACAAACAAATCATATGACCAATCAGATACCGGTAAAATTTGTCCTCAAAAAGTGTATTACATAATGTAAGGTGTAATCTGGAAGGGATGGTTAATTGGAAGTTGGAGAAGAGGCAGAAGTTGACATGATGTAATAAGTGTGAAATAATGAATAATCAATATGCTCATTTAGAGTAGACAGGATCTAGTGGAAAGGCGATAGTGATTTTTCGTATAAAATCTGTATGAAAAAGTACTGTTAGTGACAAACAGCAATAGAGTGGTAATAAAATATGGATGATGGGAATAATAATGATAATAAAGTATTAGTAGCAATAACAACAATAATATTAGAAAACTTACATAATAAAATAAAAAAGAGGAAGCAGAATTACAGTAAGAACTTCACTCTGACCATAGTAGGGAGAGGAAATGTATGTAATGCTTATGAATTCAGAGATCGGGTTTCAGATCCCCAATAGCCATTGACTCAGCTATGTACAGATGGAGTATTCGAAGTTACTTTGTATCATACTGAAGGACTCTGTGTAGCACTGTAAAGCATTCATGCAAGTAGGGGTGGTCGATGTCCGGAGATGAGGTGTTCGAGGATGGAGCTTCTGCTATTCTTCTTCTTTCCCTCGCTGGTTAAGCAAGCTGGACAGTGTTCCAGAATAGGTTTGTGGACTCGACGTTGTGTACAGCGGATACACTTTGCTCCACACGAGCAGGTGAATTGATTAATACAGATTGAAGTGGACAAAAGCGATATCTTATGCTTAACATTCGACTGGATTAACTGTCTTCTGGAGAACGTGATGCGTAAGGTAGCTGATTTAAATGTCTTCTTCAGAATGTAGAAAGACGGTTTCTAGGAATTTCTGGCGTGAATTCGCATTAGAATTTCAGCTTGATGAAGAGAGTTTTGTTGAGAAAAGTTGCGACGTTTGGCGACGGAGGCTTCTCTTTTCATGAATTCTTACTTCTACCAATTCGTGATGAGTAAAGGGCAACCAGCAACCAATGTCGTCGGTGGGAAATGCGTCCTAACTCCCGACTAGATGCATCTAACTGGTTAAAACTTCCCACTAAAACTCCAGGAACCTCCAACCTGAAGCAAGTCACTAGCAGGCGTTAGATTAATTTTCAAGAGTTCAAAATAAAACTTTAGTATTACCAGTCACTGTCAAACTTTAACACACACACAAGAAAACTGATATATATATATATATATATATATATATATATATATATATATATATATATATATATATATATATATATATGAACCTAGCTAACTCTAAAACATTCAAAACAAACAACATCCTTGCGTTCTGTCTGTCTATTTGTTCTCAACATATAACTATGCACAGATGTGCAGCAGTTAAAGCCGTCACACCCATGTAGCAAAGAAAGCAAGAGAAGAAAGTAGAAGAAATGCAAAATAGGGACAAGAATATCAGACAAAAGGAATAGTAATAACGGAGAATAATATTGTCTCATTGGGTATTATAAGTCACAAGGAGTGGATGCATCTGCGCCAACCATTGAGAACGAGGATTTTGAGCCATATCACCAATTGTTTCCAGCTGTCATTGGTTTTTACCGTCCCGAGGACTACAACCAGTCAGGATGTCTACACCTTCCTACGTGACTGACTGGCTTAAACTGACTGTTGTGGTTTTCATTGACTGGTGAAGCCATGTTTTGGTTCGACCACCACTGGCTAACTCTTTTCCAACCTGATCCATCATGTGTCAGCTAACATTGCCCATCGATCGAGGAAGGCGATGGCTAGGTGTGAATGCGTAACACATGTCCTATCCATGCTAATCGATGCAACTTCACAGCCTCGTCTATTGATTTCCCCTGCTTACCCAGCACTCGACTGATGAATAACCTCAATATTGCTCGCCTTATTATACCACTTCACACGGGAGATAGAACGTAGATACCTATGATCAAAGACAGCTAGCTGGCTGGCCTTTTCATGTCTTCCACTCTCAATGGCCAGGTCTAGCTCACAACCATAAAGGAGGACAGAGCGGACTCCTGAGCAGAACACGCGCTGTTCAATCGACAGCCAGTCGGATATCACCTCTACGCCAGAGATGGTGTGAGTTCGCAGGCAAATGACAAACGAGCCTTCTATATCCGTCCTGAAATTTCGTCAGCGATCAACCCACTGGCGTTGGCTGATGCAACATACTCTACCAATTCACTCCCTATTTCTAATCTAGCCGTCAATATAGTCCCCCCGACGTCACTGACTCTTCAAAGCTTGTAGCCTCCTATATTTCACCACTCAGAACGCAAGAAGAATCGAAAGACAAGAAGAAAAAGAAGAACCAAATTTCGTTTTTTAAAAAAAAATATTTTTTCCAAAATAAAAACTCAAACAAAACAAATAAAAAATAGTGTGAATATACACACACATAGACTCGAAAAAAAACTAATAATAATAATAGGGAAGGAGGATGAGTGCAGTACTATTGCGTGTACATCGTTGTGTCACTGAAATGAACACTAGGCATAAAGTCCCTGAATTTTTGGTTTAAAATTAAATTCTTTTGGAGAGAGAGAGAGAATGAACACACACTTCTCCTTTTCATTTTGAACATAATATATAAGTAAGTAAACACTATTGAAAGACTATTGAAGGGATGAATGAGAAAGCAATGAATCTTTTTTTTATTCATTAAGTTATCTACTAAGACAATCCATTAAGTATGTAAGTAGGTAATTAAGTAGTATATCTCATTTGTGTATTAAAATGCAAAAAAAGCAGTAAATTATAAACGTAAATATCGTAGACTATTTACAATATACATCATAGGGATACGTAAAAAGCGTACAATCAAATAACAGACAACAGCTGTTTGAAATAAGACAAGAGTTAATAGTTGAGGATAATAACAATAGGATTCAAACATTCCCATAACTCTTGGCTTAGTTAATCTTGTTGTTGCTGTTGTTGTTACTGTACTCATCTGATCAGCATCTTCATAACATTCCCTTGATATATCTGTAGCAAAAGTTCCATAAATTGATGATTCAAATTTTTCAAATGGACAAGAGGAGTTAGCGGTACTGAAAGCTCCACCACAATATGGAGGCCAAAGACTGATTAACTTGACAGTATTGTTCAGCGGGAGTTTTGTTTCATTGAAGTAATAAAAGTTGAGGTGGAAATCTTCGATAGTTGAAGAACTTGGCCGATGAAGTTCTATGATCAGACAACTTGCTAAAGGAGGTTTCAACCTTTTTCACAGAAGGGAATGAAACAATTTAAATAAATTATGTTATAAATATCAGTTAATAAGTAGAATTCACAAAATATTGTATGTGTGAGGATATTTTATGCTCAAATTCAAGATTACTGGTCGTAATAAGACACTGACATCAAGAGATCGTGATTAGTATTGTTTCTAGGAATAAATATTCAAATTATGTAATTTTCTAATATAAATGACAGACTTTTATTTCTTTAATTAAATTTTAGATTTTCTCATCGATTGATTGGACATCCAGATGACGAGTCCCAAACAGGACGAAATGCGCATCTAGAATTCCACTGCTAGTCACTACACACCAATTAAAGACTTTCTTTTCATTCATCCTGCTTTATCAATGTGGAATTACTTCTCGGAAAGACTTATTACAGTTCAACTATGCTCTGAGCGCTTTGAGCTGCAATCTGCGAATGTCTACCATGTGATTCGCTCCTGTCAAATGTAAGATGAAGCTACAGGAATGGCTGGACTTCATTGACTCCTAGTCGAAAGATAGGCAGGAGTGGAGTGGTAGAGCGTGTTGACCACTTCACTTCATTTGGAAAGTTACATCAGCCAACTCCAGTGGGTTGATTCCTGACCAAATCTCAGCACGGATACAGAAGGCTCGTTTGTCATTTGCCTGCGAACTCACACCATCTCTGGTGTAGAGGTGATATCCAGCTGGCTGTCGACCGAGCAGCGCGTGTTCTGCTCAGGAGTCCGCTCCGTCCTCCTTTATGGTTGTGAGCTAGACCTGGCCATTGAGAGTGGAAGACATGAAAAGGCCAGCCAGCTAGCTGTCTTTGATCATAGGTATCTACGTTCTATCTCCCGTGTGAAGTGGTATAATAAGGTGAGCAATATTGAGGTTAATCATCAGTCGAGTGCTAAGTAAAGAGAGGAAATCAATAGACGAGGCTGTGAAGTTGCATCGATTAGCATGGATAGGACATGTGTTACGCATTCACACCTAGCCATCGCCTTCCTCGATCGATGGGCAATGTTAGCTGACACATGATGGATCAGGTTGGAAAAGAGTTAGCCAGTGGTGGTCGAACCAAAACATGGCTTCACCAGTCAATGAAAACCACAACAGTCAGTCACGTAGGAAGGTGTAGACATCCTGACTGGTTGTAGTCCTCGGGACGGTAAAAACCAATGACAGCTGGAAACAATTGATGATATGGCTCAAAATCTTCGTTCTCAATGGTTGGCGCAGATGCATCCACTCCTTGTGACTTATAATACCCAATGAGACAATATTATTCTCCGTTATTACTATTCCTTTTGTCTGATATTCTTGTCTCTATTTTGCATTTCTTCTACTTTCTTCTCTTGCTTTGTGCGGTAGATGGAGTGTGGCGACTTTAAATGCTGCATATCGATGGAAAGTTCGGTGCTGAAACCAGCCAGTCAGTCAGTCATGCTATTTACAATGATCAGTTTCAATAACATATTGTTTCGGTTAAATTGTTTTATAGCGGCTTGCTTGAAGCAGTGAGCTACCTGAATTCCCAGCCAACAAAACGGAATCACACTTTCTCTATTTTTTTTATTGTTTTGAACTATTCAAAATTATCGCCTTGAGTCATAAAGTGTACTCATGCACATTCTAAATTGACTTTCAACCTACTATAGTGTGCATTTCTCGGTGACAAAAGAAAAGAAATATGATGAAGGATTAATCTATGCTTTAGATTAAACATTACCGAGTCACAACATGATATACTCCATAGATTGCGACTTCACTCGAAGATCCACGATGAAGAGAAAATATGATGCAATAAGATTACACACCGAGTCGAGCCAAAGCGAGCACACAGATGATGAGCTCGACCTGTATCGAGAGAAACAACCGTCACCTAGATCTGGCTAGCTAGCTAGTTGGCAAGCACTACTACTGGTTGATGTATGAGTGGTATGCAACGACTCATCTCAATGAATCAGTAGTATATAGTTCCCACGGTGACATTTTTTAACAGACAATTAATTCATTAATATTAACATTGCAAATATTAAACATGTGGATTGTATAATGCATCATTTTTTGGGAAAATAATGAGTAATTAAGCGATATATGAGTGTTCGAACTGATTGCGTAGTATAAGCAATGAAAGACGATGTGGGCAGAAAAATAAAATAACTTGGACAATGGTAACTTGTAAAAGGCTTATAGGAGGCGGGCAATTATTAGTTTATTTTTTTCTAAGTTTATGTAACGATAGCCAAGGTAAGCAGAATAGTTGCATGAAATCCTTCTGAACACACAGATCTGGCTCCTTCAGGGGGAACTAAATGTCTAAATGTCAAATAGTCAATTTCATCTTCAGGCATAAATCTGACTTAAACAAACTGGTATCACAAGTACTGTTTTGGAATAAAGCAAATTATTATTATCTCGATAACTTAAGCTGTATGTAGAAGATGAATTCATAAGACAAAATCAATATTTTCAAGAGTTAGTTCGTAGGAAGGATTTGATTTGTTTTAAGTTTTGATCAGAGAGTGACATCAGTTACAAAAACTATTGAAAACCACTAGGGAGTATTGGACAGCTCTTTGGTCCTAGTTTAGAACTCATCAGCAGTACGCATCCACTGCGGTTCAAAACTAGGGCCTTCCGATTACAAGATAAGCTTTATTAACATCAACTGCAAAATCCCAATATTTACAAGACGTGCTAAAACAGAACTTGTCTGTCCCTTGCCTAATCATGCAGGATGAACCTCCACATAAGCAATTACACTGGTAGATACACAAATTAAGGAGGCGAAATTAGGTATTTTAACCTTATTTCACACACTGCATAGAATGCTCTTCTAGTCGGATTCTTCAGGCTGTTACTATTTTCCTGATGTTATGTCGTATTAATTCTCTTGGTTAATAATTATCGCCCCCCACCCGCTTGACACCTTGATATTGACGAATTGTTGTTAACAGAGTTATCACCACTGAATTAGTAAAATGTTTTTGTATTATATTAGAAAAGGCTATATGCATATTAGAGTAGAGCTGTAGATGAGGATCTAATTGAAAAGTAAACATTACTTGACTCAATGCTTTTGTCTTCTGAAAGATGTGAATACGGTAGTTTGTTTTATTAAAACAAACGAAGTTATGAAACAAACAATCCTTAGGTATTGGTTTTGCAGGGAATTTTGTTTGATTGGTTAGAGGACTTCATCATGAACTGACATCGGTTAGAGAACCATTGGAAAACCACACCAGGAAGTACTAGACAATTGTTTCGTCCTAGTTTGGGACTCCTCATCAGTACGCACCCACCACCAGGGTTCGGACCCATGAGTCATTGGTTTAATGGTCTACGAGCTAGCTCGCCTTGTAACCAGAAGGTCTTGGGTTTGAACCTCAGTGGGGTGAATAATTCTAGGGAGTCCCATACTAAGACGAAACAGTTGTCCAGTATTTCAGTGCTGGTTTTCCAATGTTTCTCTAACTCATGTCAGTCAGCTCATGATGAAATTCCCTAACTAATGAAATAAATAATCCCTTTTTATATACAACCACATGAATCACTACTACTTAACGGTTAAAAGTCAATCACCCTATAGAATAGAAATAAAAATTCAACTAACCCATTATATACACCCAAATGACTCATTAAAGCTGCTAGTGTAGAATCATGTGCAAAATAGGCAACAAATCGTCGATGAAGTCCTTCTGAAGAATGATGATTTTCATCAGGATGATTATTCTGATGCTTAGTTTTTAATTCTCTGTTGATACGTTCACGAAATAAGTCAACCAGATGACCAGCTAATGGACCACCACGTAATCTTGTTAGATGTGGTTCAGAAAATCGAATGTAATGCTTGAAATCCAATAGGCTAGCACATTTCTGATAAACATCGTTAGTAACCCATTTTGGTATTGAAGGCAGTCCTTGTTCAACCCATATTGTGATAGGATCACATAGACGCCAAGCAGGGTAGAAATTTTCAGGTGAACTTCTGTCCTTTGGGAAAGTGTAACCTGAATAAATAAATATATAAATAATAGAAATTAGAATAAGATTAGACATCGGATAACAATAGAAAGACTGTGATTAACAGTCATAAACGAAGACTTGAGAATTTAGCGTCAGTTATAAAATCTGTACCAGATTTAATAAACATACTCAGCTGTGTATCAATTCACATGTTGTTAAACTGTGCACTAGCATATACGTAAAACTTTTTTTAGCAAGAAACAGGGGAGGAGAAAGCAAAAGATTAAGAGAATTAAAACTAAAATAAAGACAGAGGCAGAATGCGTATACGAGAACTAAGAGCACTGAGACTGACTAACTGACTGACTGGTTTCGACAGAGAAATTTGCAGCAGTTCGAGTTGCAACATTCAATGTAGCACACACACGAAGACAAGACCGAGATAAAAAGGAAATTCAAAAGAACAATTATAAGCATAAATGTGAGACGGAAATAGCAGTAAGTAACATGACGTTTTAATGAATCTAAGGGTGACAGTGATTTCGAGCCATATCACCAATTATCATCTGCAGTCGTTGGATCTTAGCATCAAGGGGACCCCAACTAGGAAGTCTACACCCCCGTGCGTCGTTCACATCAGCAATCAAGCTTTTTATGGATTGATTGTATGTTATGGTTTGATGACCACTAGTTTTTTACCAACCAGATCCTATGTCCGCCCGTCAAGGAAGGCGGCGGCTTGGTGTGCATGCGTAACATATGTACCAACCATCTCGATCGTTGTAGTTTAACGATCTGATCGATTACCTTATCCTCCTTACCTAGCACTCTACCGATGACTAACCTCAGTATAGCTACTACACCACTTCACACGGGAGATAGAACGTAGACACCTGTGATCAAAGACAACTGGCCGGCCTTTTCATGTCTTCCACTCTCAATGGCCATGTCTCACAGCCATAAAGGAGGACGGAGCAAATTGATTAGCAGTACACACGTCGTTTAGTCGATAGCCAGCCGGATATCACGTCTACGTCAGAGATGTTGTGAGTTCGCAGGTAAATGACAAACGAACCTTCTATATCCGTCCTGAGATTTCGTCAGCAACCAACCTACTGGCCTTGGCTTATTTAACTTCCCAAATGAAGTAAAGTGTTTAACAAGCTCTACCGCTCCACTCTTGCCTATCTTTCGACTAGGAGTCAATGAAGTCCAGCCATTCCTGTAGCTTCATCTTACATTTGACAGGAGCGTGGTAGACATTCGCAGATTGCAGCTCAAGGTGTTCAGAAAACTGCATTTTGGCAGCCGTCTTCACCTAGAAGGACTATGTCATCTGCATATTCTAACTTGGTAACAAGTTAATCCTTGAGTCACTGAAGTCAGTTATGGTTAAGTCCATTAGTACATCTATGATGAAATTAAACACAAATAGGGACAGTGGACCACTCCCCTAGCTTTTGATCGGAAATCTAGTCCACAAACAACACAGAAATACCACAGGCTGCATTAGCAACCTTGCTGATGATAAAGACAAATGAATATGTCGTGAACTAGGTGAGTTGAGATTCAAATCTAGTACGCATCTAACAAAAGTTAACAGCTTTCGCCAGTGAGTCATTTCTCCACATTTGAATGATATACTGGTCAGAAATTCCTCGTAGTCATAATTTCCCTGTAATGTAAGACTTGTAATGTGGTGAGAGCTGGCCGTTAGCCAAAGTTGGCGGACAGTAATTTACATCAATGTTTATGTCCACAATATTGGTCGTGAGGAAAATGAGAACAAAGACTTTGCGTAGGCGGATACAGTTAATCTATAGATGATCTGACATTCAAGAAACAGCCACAAAAAGAGATGCGAGGTTAACTTTCTGTGAGAAACAAGCAATCAGAGGACTGTTTTTTCTGCTGACAATAATCTATAATATGCACATGAAAATCCATAAATGTTGATTTCCTTAATAAAGGATCTGTTGACTGGCCCATTCTCTGTTGTTGCAGTAGGTTTGATTAAAGACTTCATTCATTTATACAAAATTATACAAATGAACTAGTATTACATAAGCTGGGAAAATTGCTTCCAGACCCTAAAGCTTAAAACAGTTGCCTTAATTTTAAAGTTAATAAGAAATCTATAATTTGTTTATAATGCTATAGAGACAATGAAAATAAAATTTAGATGGCGAAGTTCAACAATAGCGTCCTAGGAGTGAGAACGCTCCAATGATCTTAAACGCATGCTAGTCGTTGGCTAACGGCATCTGTCACTATCATAGCTGAAATATCACCGTTGTTCACCAAATAAGCAGAAAATGTCAGCCAAATCACCTTATTTGGTACTGTTTAGACAATGTATTAATAGCTCGTTAGGGTTAGGGTTAGGATAAGTCATAATTAGCACTAGGGTTAGAATTACGATTTGGATAAGAGTTATGATTATGGCTTGGATTAAGGTTAGGTTGTGTTAGGGTCAGGTTTTAGGTTACGGTTACAACTAGGGATAAATTTAGACTTGGTGTCATTTATTTTAATTTGTTTTGTTATCCACAGTTTCCTAGTAAGTAGTAGTCGGTCCTCTTACTTGGAACCATAGTAATTCAACCGAGGGCTTTTGGGCAAGACTGCACAACAAGATAAGAGAGATAAACTTTTCACAAAAACAGCTCATCTGCAGTCATCTCGGTGAATACATGAACAGAAACTAGTCTGACTTAGCAACTGATACTCCTCATTATAACTAGGACGTATTTTTAAGTCATGTCGGTGAAAGATAACCTGTTTAATGTGTTTTCATGCATCTTCTTGTAAATATACGTCATTTTTGTGCAAAAATTCCTCATTTTTATGATTGGTCGACTGAGGGTCACTAGTGCGTTTGCATTCCTTGAGAAGCTATTGTTGAACTTTGCCATTTAGATTTATTTCAGAGTGGTAATTTAAACAGTGATACTGAAAAATGCTTATCTCAGATGACTTACCAGTCATTCGCTCCAGATAAGAGAAAAAATCTTGCAAACTATATGCTTTTTGAAAAACTGCTGACGAGTTCATTAAATTGTTAAACAGCCTCTTGAATTTAGGACATTTACTAGACATTTTCAACAAATGATCTTCATTTACCAATCTGGAGAAGACAGGAGGCAAATGATTTGTACTTTCCTTTTCTAGTTGATATAGTCCTCTGATAAAATTATTTGCAGACATAAGTGTTCTTTCAGTGCCTGAACTACGAAATAATACTTCATCCTATCATTTTATCAGTTGAGAATTTAAAAGAAAAACAACATTCATTACCTTGTGATAGACTTCAGGAATCAGAGTAGAATACCTTTTACGAATCATCTGGCCAAGTTCATGATGTTGTTTTGCACCATAAGCTGTTAACTGACCATATCCCATTTTCCAAAGCTTTCGAAAAGGATCCGTTGGAAAAGTGTGAACAGGAGATCTATCCCCGTGTCGACAAAGAATAAATACCATAATTAAATCTTTTGTTTCTTCTTCTGTGTTAACCTTGACAGCCAAAGTGGAGTATATGAGTAGATATACAATGAATGAAAATAGTCTGGAATGAATATTCCTGCTCATTATGAAGTTTTGGATTGTAATTTGAAGGGAGGAATAAAAAAAATAAGATTTTATAACGTATTATGCTTGTGTTGTAGTTCGCTAAACAAATGATTGAAGTGCTTTACTAGTAGAAAATCATATCGTGTTTTCTAACTAATATCTCCGGAATCCTAATGATGGTCAAGAAATCCAAGTGTAGAGACTTCCATTCACGTAAGAAGCAACAAATGAAAGGGGTTTATTTTATTTATGCAACTGAGTTTTTGATATTTGAAGTTGAGAACAGGTTTGGACTACGAACATATTGCATGAACACTCGATTTCACAAAAGTCTTTGAGGAAAGTCAGCAGATGCTACTAATCTGTAGAATAAAATTGTGAAAAAAATAGAGTGTTAAAACCAACCAGATTATTAAAACTCAAAAAATATAACCTATGTCTGAAATACAAAAAAGAAATAATTTAGAATAAGCACAATTGTAAGCTGAGATAAAGCCCGGATTACAATACACAAATATCTAACCTAATGAATGAGAACAATTATATTTTAAAAATTAGCTATTTAACAGAAATATGCAGCCATATGATCGACAATGAATTATGTCATATGATGCTACTACCCAGTCTCAATCTCAGTAAGGTGATTAGCGTGTAAACTGCTGACACGCGATTCTCTAAACCGATGAATGGTTATTTGGTTAAGCCTGGATGAACTGAAAGGTTGTTTTCTTTTGTTCTATTATTAATAATTTCACATAAGCAGATGGACAGCAAAAAACCTGGCATAGCGTTATAAAAGGGTCAGCTGAATTCAGGATGGAAGGCATACAGAAGGGGAAAGTTTTACTGAGCAAATACTTGTATTCGCATATAACTGGCGATAAGCTAACTATATGTTGACATTCTTGGTACCACCAAGCTACCCAACACTAGGTAGGTATGCAGAATTTAAAACCAACCATAGTGGTTGGAAGCCATGCTCCTCATGAAAGCATTTTAGATGCGTTCAAGGCAAAATTTTAACTTAAAGGAAAAATGGGCGGATATTTATCATAACAGATGTTTACTAATGTTATTCACAGTTTTACCATAGATAACAAATATTACAATTTCTAGTATAGCCAGAAACAGGAGTAAACAGTTGCGTTTGCAGATAACACCATCCAGTGCGCAGTAATTTAGGTTGGTTAAAGCTTGCCATTTAACGACACATGCTCAGCAGTTGAATGAATCAGAAATGTGCTGCAGATGCATGTGATTGGCATGAAGCTAATGCATGAGTGTGCATTACTTTTGTAGTTCGAAATGTATTAGACATCTGTTATCGAAATGCCGATAAGGATCGATATATGCAGATAACTGTAACATTGATAAACTGAACTCCTGTTCGGTGTTTTACTGGTGGTTTGTGACACCCCAGATCCTTTCATTCATAATAATTACTAAATTGTTCGTTGGAACTCCTCCTGGAGTAAAGGTTTTGGCAGCCGACGGTAACATCGGACCTAAATCAATATGCGTAACTCGTCCTATTGTAGAGTGTACATAACCAGATACATGTCATATTTCTTTCCACTAATTTAAGAAATATATCTCAACAATCAGTATGGCATGGGAAATAGTGAATTTTGATGTCAAGAGTTAACTGAGCAATGAACAGAACGTTATATGACAGGCCAGTCAAATATTATCCTGTTCGGAGTTTCCATGGCGCGAAAGAAACGATGAAACCACACCTTCTTAGTATTCCCTTCTTTTTTCTCCATGTGGTGTCTTTAAAATGTGATAATTTTCATTATTACCACTAATATGCATTTCAGTATTCTGAAAGAATATCTTCGCTCCCTCGATCATGACTTTCTGAATACACAAAGTGATAATTATAAAACTTTGAGGAGATAAATTGGATTCATATATAATCTATTCCTAGAATAGAGAACATACTGTGTAACAGTTCAAGAATATCACCCACATTTGACCTTAATCGGAAAATAGCGCACACGACAGAAATACCGGTGTGGCTATGCAAAAGAATTATTCTGGCTTCAATGATCAATATTTCTTCGGCATGCTTCTTTGAACCTAAAGATTTCCTGAAGCATTTTTGTGGCTCTTTCAAAAAACTTTCTGGACGTTTGATTGATTTTAGAATTGTATGTCATTCCAATTGGTGTCACCTCGCAGAACACAATGAAAGAGTGCATCAGTTTATTTTGGAGGGAACTCATGGCTTTACAGGGATCAGCCTCTACTAAGTCTCAAGGATTTCATTTCCTCGGGTTTTCCTGCAGGGGGGCCAACAGATGATCTACGGGACATGGTGCCAAGTGGGTGGGAAGGGACTAAGAGCATCTGTAGATAAAACAAACGGAATTTTCGGCGAGACGTAAGGGCTCATAACATGTCCACTATGGGTGACCGAGAAGACAAACTGGAAACGACAGGAAAGAACGCGATTGGCAAGATTGAACTACCAATATTCTGAATAAAATAGTGAAGTATGTAGTGTCAGCGGGACCCATTAGAACTAGTCTGTTTCCCCTGCCAATGGGCATAAACCTACCATTTCGCGTACGTTCTTTTGTAGCCAGGAGAATTCAGGAGTTCCGTTTTCAGTGAATTATAGGGCAGCAGCAACAGGAAAATTCATTGATCTCCGCAAGATAGTTTTCTGTGTGGAGAAGCAATGTGTGCTTTTCACGGTGTGATGAAGAGATAGTTCTGTACTGAATTGCAGCAAGTCACACTAGTAGCTGGTGTGGTTGCACTATCACGGAAAATAGTATAAGTGACAACACTCAGGGCTCAGCCACCAACCACTTTGGGTCTTCAAAGTATGACACACAAGCTAAGTCTGACAGAATATACGGAGCAAGCCTTCTGGGAATCAAACCACAGTGCAGCTATGCATATAACGAAACCCACGTGAACTCACTTAGAATGTCCCCAAACAATAGGTAGGTTAATAAGTCATGGGCGTCACAAGGTCCAATGATATTTTATCCATCACATCCCTGTCAGCGCCAAGCAAACAGATGGTGGGGATGCTAACTCTTCTGAACCCGGACCACTAATGTTGGCTCCCCATCGGGAAGAAACCAGACACAGGCTGGTGCACACGGAACTATTAATCACACCCAATGTCTGTACAAGCATAGGCCAAATAAAAACTCCAACCTACTCAAGCCTAGAACTACCCCACCCTGTAGTGAATCCAACAATAAAACTCATTATTCACTCAATGAAGTAGATGGTAACTCCATAGACATAGGTGAACGTGGTACCCAAACTAGTCGCAACACAGGGTTGTTATGCCACGTGAAGCCAGTGGATACGGATCCACACTTTAGCCTGCTTGACGAGCTTAAACACTTCAAACCCTGCTACAACTCTCAACTGTACTTAATACTTATTAATGCTAGATCTATCCTCAACAAACAACCAATCCTCATGGCACACACGCTGGTATATAGACCCCAATAATTATTATTACTGAATCACGGTGTCACTCCAATATACCAGACATTGAGAAAGCATCGATGGGTACACACACTTTCGATGTGACAGGAAAAGTGGTAAGGGAGGAGGCTGCCTCATCTACTTCCTGAACACACTGTATTACAGCTAGAAAACAGGGAACTCAATGACATGCACGACACACTATGGGTCAACGTACACCTCAGAAGTGCTACACTACTGATAGGATGTATCTACAGAGCGCCTGGTACAGTAAGTGATTAAGAGACAACTTATAAACGCACTAGAGAAAGTAACTACTTTCCCATACGAGCACGAGATCATATGTGGAGACTTCAATCTACCCGAAATCAACTGGGATTTATTGACAGGCCCAACTAAATATGACGAGCTCTTAGGTACACTGGACGTTTTCGGCTGGAAACAAACTGTCACTATCCCTACGAGAGGTGACAACTTACTTGACTTAATATTCTGTCACGATATAAGTCTCCTCTCAATCTTAGTGGGTTCTGAGTCTTCAGTAGCGACCACAAAATATTGATGTGTTCACTGCCACCTCCACTGAGTAGCAATCCAGCTCATACCTCCATTTCACGACAAGCAATATATATGGGGGATATAGTAAAGCAAACTGGGGATTCGTAGAATCAATGGCGCGAACACTTCACTACTGATGACCTCCCGAGAGCTCTAAGCATCTTCTACCATAACACAAACACATGCTTAGATGCTGTCATTCCACTCCAAACACTAAGGTTTCCCCACACAGAAAGTCGTACGAAACTGAAGAGACTCTCAATAAGTTACTTCAACCACTACGACTTTGGCACTCTAGGTTTAATACTTAGTACCCTTAGCTCCATATCACAAGCTCGAGACTTCCGTATGGAAAACGAAGAGTGCACAGCAGTATTCAGCCCTGCTAGAGTGTATACTCTCACAGAAATCTTAAAAAGCGAATGGATCGCGAAAATTATAGCATTTCTCTCCTCATAATCAAAGGTGCGCTATGCGCTGATTCTGCAGAAAAATATGAAATATTTAAAAAAACATCTGCAGATAACTACCATAAGCCTGCAGTCCAGTTACTCGGTATGAACCCTGCTGTTAATATTGTACAAACTCTCTCAATGGAGTTGAAGATTGAACGATCAATTCTTGGTTGTTTGCTCAAAATCAACTTCCCCAATTTTCGCGGAGGCATCAATACGACAGTCATCGTCTCATCGGTCGCTGTTCAGAAAGAAGTCAGTAGCAAACCATCAGAAGTAATCTCGTGATTTATTATTGTAATATTTGTTCACAGACCTTAATAGAAATATTTTTATATGTTGGTGTTACAATAAAGAATTCCCAAGCGGCCAACCGGTGTTTTGGTTTTTCGTCCGTTATTACTAAGCGTTTCTGAAAAACTGCAAGGAACAGCGTGGGCCCGAGCGTAGCAAGAGCTGGGCATTAACGGTTTATGAGACGTGATTGACAGTTTCTGATGGTAGAAACAGACTCTGGCGGATTCAGACAGTTGGTGAAAGTTTGGATAGTCACCGTTCATCTTTCCTGGTGCCGGTCAAGTCCTCTTTGAACAAGCAATATCTGGAACTGTTTTGGAATTGGGTCAAGTTCAACAATGCCTGGGTCAAAGAAGGGACAGAGTGTCTTGGATGCAAACAGGAAAGTAAGTCATGGTGACTTGTCTGTTAATTGTAACGATGTGTCTGATGTTAAGCCTGACATGGTTGATGTTATTGTTTCGCCGTTCAGGGATAATAGGAACATCAAACTCCCTAAATTAGAACCACGGTGTTTTGATGGAAACCCGGCTGATTATTTACAATTTGTAAAGGAGTTTGAGATCATGCTGAGTGGTTTTTCATTAACTGATGAATTGAAGTTAATGTATTTGATGAGATATTGCACTGGAGATGCTGCAAGAGCTATACAGTGTTGTAAGTTTATGAAGCCAAAAGAAGGCTACGATGAGGCTATGAGCATATTACGTCAAAGGTTTGGAAGACCTTCGATGATTGTGGGGAAATTATTCGAGGCTGTTAAGGGTAATGGTGGTCAATTACAGGATGATTCTCAGGCACCCACTGAGTTTTTAGATAATTTGCTAATTTACAAGAATGGAATGATTTCGATGAATCGCATGAGTGACCTCAACTCGAGTTTTATACTAGAAGTAATAGCAAGATGCCTACCTACTCGACTGCAAAGGAAGTGGGTGAAGATGAGCTCCCGTATGGAGGATGAGGGTATCGAGCCAAGGTTTGATGATATCCTGAAACTGGTAAAAGATAGTGTCAATCAATCTATGAGCAAGTTCGCCAGTATATTGAATCTCACCCCTAGAATAGAGCAGTCTGAGGGTAAAACGCACCCATTGATGACGAATAGGCCTCAGAGAGGTGGATATCGAGAAGGCTCCATGATGTCTAGTAATGCATATAAACTTAGTGAGTGCAACAGGTTTCGTAGTACATCCTCAACAGATAAGTTACAAGATGCAAGACAAACACGGTTGTGTTTCACACGTTTGCAAGAAGTGCGTACAAAGGTGAACTGTGAACCAGTGAGCAAGTTCAGTGATAAGCTAAATGTAAACTCCAGGTCTGACTCCGAATTGTGTGACGATAACGGTTTGGTCAGGAAGTCTGTAGTTGCAACTGGTAAGCCATTGTTGAATAGAGTGTCACAGAATAGAGTTGCTGCTTCAGAGTGCAGTTCTGACCCTACAAGTTTACAAGGTATTACTAGTCAGAGTGAAGTTATAAAACCTTTTAGGATTTGCGAGGAGGAACCAAAATTGTCTACTTCTGTTATTAAAGAGTTTGAAAATGATAAAGTTGACGGTAAATTGAATATTCGTGATAATGATCATGATACTTCACAGTTGTCTTTGGTTGATCATGATGAGATGAGGGATATGCCTACTACTGCTAAGTTGAACAAAGGTTCTGTACAACTTGAACGTGAAGTAGAAATAAATGCAGATTCAGTTGCAGAAGGCACGCATACTTGTGAGACTGTCAGTGTGATTGATCAGCATGTAGCCCACCTATCATCAGATGCCAGTGCTAAACCTGAGCTGATAGTAAAAGACGGCAGTGGTGGTGGTCTTGCAGGTAGACAAATTTCTGAAAGTCGAGCAACAACAGCTTTTGATCCACCGCTAACTTCATCAACTGATATCAATCAGTCGTCGTTGGTGCTGTCATCCACAATGAAACAGACACCCATTATCTCAAGTATCTTGTGCAATGACTATGCTAGTATCAGTTCGTTTGAAAGGACGAATATCAATGGTCAGTTTAGTGAGGATAAGCCAAGTGTAAACGAGAGAGTAATTGTTAAATTGACGTGCACAAACAAAGGCATTTCTAGTTTCAAGTTACTGTTTGAATGCTATTATCTTTGGTGTAAATTACTCTGTTTCTACACTAGGTTGATGAGATATGTCGTGTGTTTGTTGGTCATCTATATTCTACGATACAATTACATGAGCGTGTTATCGTTCAGATTTGAGGATATAGCTCATAGAAGGA